CCATTTCCGCGCATATTCCCGCTGTTAGTTAGCAATTTCAATGTTTAGTAGCACATTTTTTTACACATTTTAACATTGATGCCACATTGCGCCACATGTATTGCAGCATTCCTGCAATTTCGCGCACATTCTGCACATTCGGCTCACATTCTCTGTACATATCCGCACACGATCCAAAAGGTTGTCGTGCATTTTGCACGACAGAATTCACAGGTTTTGTCTATGGAAGGCTATTGGGCCCTAAAATAACATCAGAATATAAAAATTTTTAGGGCACAATTTATTGGTCTAGTTAGGCACCTGCTTAGGTATCACAAAGTGACACACAGATTTCTGTGTATCATTAACTGATGCACAGACTTTCCGTATATCAAGGAATGATGCAAAAACCCTAACCCTAACCCTAAGTCATAAAGTATAACCTTACTCCTTAGGACCGTTAGGTATCACGAAGTGTGTTAGGTCCTTAGACTTACTAGTTAGGAGGCACTTGCCCTGGGCTGAGAGCAGAGACGGTCTATCACAGGCACTTGAAGCGTTTCAATAAAATATAATGCTAAATAAATACGAAATCTATTTACTACCAAATTGTTAATGTTTCTATACTCTCTTTTACCTATTAGTATTATTGCTGACAGTTTCCTGTAAATTCCGTCCAAATCCTATGTACAACATACGCTGCCGGCGGCCATTGTTCTCGCGGCTGCACTGTGCACACTTACACTTATATGTATATATAGTAGGTAGGAAAGCGTGCTGCCCAAATTCGCTCGACGCTCGCTGGATTTCACACGATTACAACACAAATATTCAAACATTCTACTCCATCTTTGTTTCTATTTCAACAACAGTGTTCACTTGTTATAAAAACACACTGTCTCTGTTTGTAACCGAGCTGTGTCACGCGAAATCACACAAAGACTGACGAAATTCTCGCGTTCGCTCCCTTTGTCCAGTAAATGTAAATGGCTGCAAGTACAGGGCTATATAGACTGGTACTCGCTCCCACCTCGATTACCCATCGAGTAACTAAGCTAAGCCGAGAGGCGGAAGCGAGTACCAGTCTATGGGCTATAGGCGGCGCACTGCCTTCCAACTCCCATACGAGCTTTGCCATTGGAGCGTTGTAAAAACGTTGCAGCGTTGCAGCGCAAGAATGAGGTGACGAAGAGCGCCGGTGGGTGTTTCCTGATTCTGCCAGCCATTTACATTTACTGGGCACGTTAGCGAACGCGAGAATTTCGTCAGTCATAGAAACATTTAGAATTTGGTAGTAAATAGATTTCATATTTATTTAGCATTATATTTTATTGAAACGCTTCAAGTGCCTGTGGGGTCTATGTCCTATAAACTGCGCAACGTGAGGGAACGCGAGAATTTCGTCAGGTGTGTGATTTCACGTGACAGAGCTTGGTTACGAACACAGACAGTATGTTTTTATAACAAGTGAACACTGTTCTTCAAATAGAATCAAAGATGGAGTAGAATGGTTGAATATTTGTGTTGTATTCGTGTGAAATCAAGCGAGCGTCGAGCGAATTTTTTTGGCAGCACGCTTTCCTACCTGCTATATATTTATGTGTCAGTGTGCAGCGGCAGCCAGCGTTTGTTGCAGATGAGCATTTGGACGGCATTTGCAGGACATTGTCGGCAATAATAGGTGAAAGAGAGTATAGAATTAGAAACATTAAGACTTTGGTAGTAAATAGATTTCGTATTTATTTTGCATTATATTTTATTGAAACGCTCCCAAGTGCCTGTGCTCAATCATTGCCGCACTGTGTTTCAAATATAAGCAAGAGGCTCACGCATAGTCGTAGTTTTACTAGTTAGTGTGAAGGAAATACAACAATTGTTATACGGGAAAACCCCGAAGTTTACTAGCAATACGTTGTGTTTTTGTGTTTGTTTTTAACTATGGGCCTATGAAGTTGCCTGTAAAAGTTAAATTGCACGTGAGTAAATGACTGTTTTAGTGTTTAATGGCTTCTTTGAAAAATAGTTGTCTCACATAGTATATATAAGAAATATTGAGAAATTGTGAGTAAATTGCAATACAAATGATTAATTTACCATGTTTTAATAATATTGATACTATATCTGCAAACTTCTAATTAATGTTTAAACTGAAATAATGAAAATGCCCACTGAGTGACGTCCAGTCAGACATTCAATGTCAGAATTCAGGCAGTGCACAAATGCAGGAGGGGCATATTAGGCATTGTGGGTAAGTGGGAATTTAAAATTCTTTGTACCTGTCAGACCGGGCGAAGGGATTTTTTGTGTACGTCCAAGTGGTTTTTAATTGTGCGCTGGAACTATACTCCAAGTCTTTTTTGCACAACAGGACACTCAACGTGAATTATTTTACTGACTGTCGCATGCAGAAAAAATAGTTGGTGCTCCACAAATCAGCGGAATGCCAGACAGATCAAAAAGAGATTCATATCTACAACTATATCTGTGGCGAGTTGCTATAATTTGAGAGATCCTCATTTATATTATTACCTAGACCAATAAGACAGAATAATTGTGCTTGATAATGATTTTTAAATTCGAATTTTTTTTCAGTCATTACGGGATAGTCCACTTGCAGACAGAAATGGGTCAGTCTCTCGCCTAAAGTCACGATCCCGGAGTCCACTCTACCGAAGCTCACGATCAAGATCACCTTCGAGGTTTTTATAATGATCCTAATTGTATTTAATATGACATTTAAGGCCACATGATAAAACTGTAGTAATTGGTTAAACCTGTATATATATGAGAGTTTGATTTGTAGCTACAGGCCCTGGATAGTCCCTTCACTCACCTATATCAGGGTGCGAAATTAACGGTAGTCCGGTAGTCAAAAACTATTAGATTTCCACACGGACGAGTAGATTATGGTAAGAACTAGTGTAACGTTGGAATGATGATAGAAAGCCAAACTTGTGTGTAACCGGAGTAAACTTTAATAACTTGCACAGTGTAGCCACATCTCGACAATCGCACAAAGAGACAGAACGCACATACGCGCATGTGCCTCCTTCCGCGACCAGAACCAGAATCCCCCTACTCTTACATCTCTCTATATATTCACCCAAAACTCTTACAAACCACATGCACCACGCACATGTACCCGTTCTCCCAGACCGCGTCCTACCCCCATTTCACAATGACTCTGGAAACTGCCTAACCTAAAACCCGCTTATCCAACTCCCTGTAACATCAATGCAGCCGCCCAATATGCGCGACGCTGCGTCTACGCAGACTAACTGGTCACCAAACAACCCTAGTCTATAGCCTCGCTGACTACTTCATGTACCGGTGCAAAACACATACATGTTACATTATCTCCCTTTTCCCAAAAACGATGACTACCCTGTCATCGATTCAGCGTCCTCGCTGATCTACACTTTAACCTGAACCTAACCAATTCCAAAAAAATTACTACCCTAACATCTTCCTAACTCAACCCAATGAGAGAAACGTCTTTCTGTCCGATTAAACAACCCACAATCAATACCCAACATAACAACAATCAAAATACAATAAGAAAACACATATGAAGCGTAGAAAACAAATAACGATAAAGTTCGATCACAATACAAGTCAGAAACTCAACACATTTGGCATGAACATTCTGATATCGCTGCAATTACTCTCACTCTTGCATCTTTTTATGCTGTAACGTACATTGCGTATGCGTGTACCGACACGCATTTACCGAAACCACGTTTTCAACCATGTGCTCACTTATATCATGAGCCTGATTATATCCTCAGAATCCCAGGGCACACAGCCCATGCACACAGGGCATTAATAAACACAGCACTGATGTGGTACTTTGTCACTTCCACACATACAGCCAACAAAAATCATCATGTATCATCCATCATACATCATACATCATACATTATACATCATACGTCATACATCATACAGCCAACAAAAATATGCAAAACTGATTTCATATTTTCAATGAAATGTTTTTGGCCTATAATCAAACTCTAATTGAAGAATGTGTTTTAGCGGTCTGACAATATAGGGTAAACTTACCATTACGACAACTTTAAAAAAAACGTGCATACAAACAACCATAAACCTACATACATACATGCATACATACAATGTCAGGTAAGCGTGTGAAACAACTGTGTCGGCGTTCCTTATTCAAAGTTTTATTCTGCTCCGCAAGTATCCTATAAGCTTAACATGCACCTTTGGATAAGGGATAAGACACATGGTGCATGTGTATACAGGCAAAGTGCTTGAGTATTTCACTATCACTTTGTATATTATACGCTGTGGTTTGAAACTAGTCGTTTTTAACTTTACTTACGACTATATGCCGACACAGTTTGTTTCACTCACCCATTTTAAGTATTTCCGTCTCGTTTATCTCTTGCGTTTCTTGTTCCGTTCGTGTGACTGCATCCTTCTCTTCCTTCGTCGGAATCTATTCTTCCTTTCTCGTCCTTCTCCTCTTCGTTGACAAGTCTTTGCGACGCGGCAGCAGCAACGGTCCTCCTTCTCCACGATCTCCAGCCAATCCTCGTCGCCATCGTCATCGTCGTCGGCGCTAGCGCAGTCTGGCTCCCATCTCATCATCAGAACTCGCTCTTTCCGTCCCTCTCTCCCTCTCTCGCTCTCGGTCATTCTTCCTCTGTTTCGTTCCTGGCCCGTAGATCGATATAATAATGAAGTAACTTGCGTTGTGTCCGCAAAAGGATACCCAGGTTTTGGACTGTCACGGCAACCAAAATGTAACGTTGGAATGCGAGTTCACGTAGAAATGATGAAGTAGATCCAAATCCAGAACTTGTGTGGTAAACTGTATAACCTTTAATATCTTACACACATCACATCTCCTTACACACAGACAAAGACCGCGCACACACGCACTCTCGCGACCAACACCAGAATCCTTCCCTGTAACATCAATCTAGCCGCACAAGATGCGCGACGCTCTGTCTAGCTAGACTATGACTAAAACAACTAGTAGTCTAGCTCCACTGACTAATTCATGTAACACGTGCAAAACACATGTTACACTAGTCCAGTGGACTAGCTAACTTAACGTGGCTCTATTCATTTTTGACTGACAAGGACGAATAAACTGATGAGTTAATTTATTTATCTTTCCTGTAAGTTCTGATATAACCTAAGTTAACCCCCATTAATTGTCAGCTATATACGACTTAAAACTGATATTCTATATCAAGCACGTTAAGTAATTGATTGACATCAGGAGTAGATAATAGGGAAGGAGTGTGACATCAATAAACAAGGGAAATTCGTCATTTACTAGCCTTATAATACCTACGATTTAGTGATGTCACGATCATCGATTATACTCGATCATCAGTTGAACAGTGGCTCGAACCAAGCGCTTGGTTATCAAAATCCATAATTTTTTTTTAAAACTTGAACAAGAAAACTTGGAAAAGTGATGAGAATCAGAGATATCATCGATACTATACAAGTTATCCTTTATTAACATACATGTATTATACACACAGTAGTAAACAGTGCAAAACAAACAGTAAACAGGGCTAAACAAGCACATACATGCACACACGTACATGCACATGACGTTACGCACACACAGACATTCAACACCCCGAGTAACCGATTGTAACCGATCATCGGTTACTTGGGTCCAACCGATGATCGATTACGAAATTACAACCGATTGACAACACTACTACGATTTACTACGCGTAACTCATCCAACTTGAGCTCAAATCGTACACAGTACATTTGCCTAGCATCGTGCGAAATCGTTTCCTCGTATACACAAGCAATTCGGAGATACAGACTAAAACGTATGACACGATTATCCATTCTTTGGCCATCAATCCAAAAGTATTCCTTGCCGAACTTGCAAACAAAAGACGGCTACTAACGCACTAACACTCACTCGGCGAGGCGGTGTGGCTCGCAAGGAGATTGCGGTGGGCGTACGTGCGTGGGGGGCATACCAACTGTATGCCGGTATGCCGGTATGTAGCTGTGTGCCGGATCAAAGGTTATCTCGCCAAGTGTTGAGTCGATGTCCAATCTCCCAGCGAGCCACACCGCCTCGCCGAGTGAACCGCCTTGAAGCGATGGTAGAAAATGATTGAATGAAAAGTTGCTCTAAAAAGTTACTATAAAAAGCTGCTTGTCCAGCGGACAAGCTACTGGACAGATCTACTTGTCCTCTATGGAAATGGACAAGTGAGAACAAACGGATAGCCCTTATTTCGAACACTGCTAAGCTATATAATACGGTTTTGTTATTCTCTTCACATTTCATTATATTAAAAAGGGGAATTTTCTCTTTAGCTTTTTGGAATTGGTAAATCACATACTCTACGGATCTGCACGCATCCTAGTATAATAGGCACATATGACTGACTATACTGTATACTATTACTAAGGCATATGCACGTGGTATAGTCGATCCGCTAAATGTAAGTGCGAAGGAGGATATACCACCTTTACGTAGTATTTCCAAGACATACATTTTGGCAAAGAAAATTTAATTTGGCTAAAAAAAATCCAATGTTATGCTACCCTGGTAGAACACTGCATAAATAGCATTGGTTCTTGTTGCTAGGGGCAGATCACGGTCAAGATCAGATGACAGACGATATGATTCACAGCCATATTCCAGAAGAAGGAGCTATTCCAGATCGTAAGTGTTCTTGCCCAACATGCGTAGCTGTGTCTTACATTAAATCTGCCGTGTGGCTGGGCCACAATTAAAAAATCTTTGTTTGCCCTTACCCGACCCAGGCTGAAAAGTTTGTATAGGTAGGTAGGCTTCTTTTTTAGGGGGGTCTTTTTACAAAATCAGCATGGTGTCTACATGCTAGGGTGTGCTTGTGTGGAGATACCTTTTATGTTGAATGTTTGTTTTGCTTGGTACATATAATCAGGAGTAGATGAAGAGGAGTATGACTGGCTAAGAACAAGAGAAATTCAACATATTTATACTCGTATTTACCTATGATTGATTTAGTGAAATCCAATAAAAATTACATCATCACTAGCGCTGAACATCCAAAATCTCATCACACTTTACTGTGTATCGATACCTCTTCTCATTATTATGTAGTT